AGCTGTGAAATCTTACACAGAATCTTATTCAAAGCAGAATTTCCATGACAAATATTTCCCATGGGAGAAATATAATACTTCTTCCTTTTCTGTTTCTTGTGAAAATTTTTCCACCCCCACCAGCGCACGATGATGCTAAATGTGGTGTGAGGTGTGGATTTATTAGTTTGCATATTGTAAAAGTTCCACCCTTGATTTGTCGAAAGCTCCTCATGGCGTTCATTTTCATTTCATGGAGCAAATTGCGGTGGGAATTGGAAATAATGCTCATTTTGTAAATCATTCAGAAATATTACTGAGCGAATGGCTGTAATTGTAATTAATGATGAAATTTATGACTCATTTTCTTCTCACAGCAATAAAAGCTTTTATGGCGGGGTGAATACATATAATTTTTTATTTTCAAAATTATGAAACAGTCCCTCTTGTCGATATAATTTGCGGTGAAATCGAGCATTTTTTGCGCCTCTTTGCCGCAATCATTGATTGCACACAGAATTTGAATGCTGATTTATATAAAATGCAAACACCCAGAGAAATTCTCATTTGGCACAATGATGAGGAATGCTGAAAAAAAATACAGCAACAATTTATATGAAAGTGCGAGAATTAATGCCAGTCATTTATATTTTCTTGTGCTTGTTGTGCCTTCGAATTATAAATTGTGTGAATATTTCCAGAGGAGAAACGTCATCGTGAAGGGAGAAACTTTTTTCAACGCCGCATTGGAGTATATTAAAATTGATGACCTGTTCGCGCTTTCTGTGGGTATTTATATGTAACAATAGAAACTTTTCTAATATTCAAATGTTGCTCGCTGCCGCAAGTATTATGAAGATTTGCTATGCTTACGAAGAATGCCGGAAATTGAGTTTGGCTGTGAAAAGAAAAAGCATTGACTCGAGGGTGAATTACAGGGATCATTGAACACAGAGCGGATATTGAACTATTCTATTTAGAATATGTTTTACGTTCTCTAGCGCTGAATGGAAGCAGGAAATTGAAGCGAATACTTCATCTGGACATAGTTTATCATCCGTCACAACACAATAAAGTTTATGTCTGGCAGTTTTGTGTTGATTCCCTCCACCAAGTTTATATCAAGTCATTTGCGCTGTGCACTGGGTAAAATGAGGAATTGTTGATGTGAACTGAAAGCAATGGTTAAAAATGATCTTTTGGGTGTTCCTAAATGAAATAACGAACGTAGGCAAAATATTCGCAAGCATTGTGTATGATTTTTCCATTATTATCGGATAAAAGCTCATGGCGACACATTATTATAATATTGTGGAAAATATGAGGTTTGTGGTTGTGCACAGCAAATGTAATGACAGATTAAATGTAAATTGATGGCAAACACATAATGATTTAATAATTCGCTGGCAATCAAATTATTTTGGAATTTCAAGAGCTTATTTAAGTGTAATTAGCTTCATGTGCACATATAAAAGTATTTAACGAAAGTATATATTTGGAGAAATATCATGAAAACGTTTTACATACAGTTTGGCAAGAGTTCAGGAATATTATATTTTCTCTGCAAAATGTGTTATTTTTCCCTCGAGATTTGCTAAAGAGATAAGTATGACCTTATACAGGCAAGTGTGAAAATTAGTGATTTATAACCAAGCCGCAGAGACAAGAAGTGGTTGAAACTTTAGGGAAACGCATTCTCTTCAGGGCGCTTGCTTCATACTCAGCGTAAAGTGCATATTGTGTAAATCACTGCATTTAAACAGAGCTCAGAAGGAGTCTAATTTTGAGGAACAATAGTCGAAATTACAATAAAGTTGACTGCTTATTTCCTCGTATGCACTCAAGCTTTCGATCTTCTCCATTTAATTTGGAGCGTTAACAAAGTGGAAGTCATCACAATATCTTAATTTCACATTCAACACAAAAGCATTCCTCAGCAAGTTTCCACACTACATACACACACATACTCGAGGAATAAATTATAATAAATATCACAATTTCCCGCGAAAGTTGCAAGTCGCTGTCTCAACTTTCCCATTCAGTCTCAACTTTCACACTTCTCCGTTTCCGCGAGAGAAAGTTTCACTCAGCCAAGACGAATCGAAAAAATTTCCACGAGATTTGGCAATTTGCATCTCATCCTCGGGATCCCGATAAAATCATTCCGCCTCCACTCGACATTTTTCAATTTAACCACCTTGTACATATTTACCGAGAGTCCATCTTCGGGAAAGGCGCTCAAGTCATCGCCTGTCGTCGCTTCCGCAGGAAGAAGGCTTCGTTCCAAGCAATATTCGTAGAATATTATCGCAATGCTCGGATTTCTCCAACTTTGACGAGCCTCAAAAGTTTCCACCGAAAACTACTCTCTGCATTCCGCTGGGAAAACCAATTTTCCTGGAATCCTGCGGGTAATTTAAAGGTTCTCACAGTGGAATGGAAAATTTAAGACGTGTGACCGAAACACGGCTCAATTCGCCTACAAATTATTACAGATCGCCGCGTCACACGAAACGCTCTGGGCAGACATTGTGCGTGGAAATTTGCGAAAACAAACGACCCGGAGCGGGACCATTTGTCAATGTCACTTCGGCTACCTGGAGGCGAAGAAAAAGGCAAGATTGACGATGCGGGCGGGTTTGGGGCGCCCAGGGACGCTCGTGGAGTCTTTTCGCCACTCGAGGGTTATTATTTGATTATCAATTTATGCCTCAAATCAAACACCTTTCCTCCGTCGCAGCGGCGCATTTTCCCCTCGGCCGCTAATGAATTCGCGGGAAAGCCTTTTCCACCCGAAATTCATGTTCTTCGCTCGTCTTCAAGTCATGCGACGAGGCTTCGCGCCGAGCTTCACTCAACTGTTCTGCGAAAAATCATGTTCCATTAATTCCGACTGAGAGAAAAGCTAATGCATGTTTACATTAGCAGTCTGGAGAATCGAGACGTAGGCGTGTTGTGCCGTGTAAAGTGGTTACATGAGAAAATAATTGGGAAATTCGTGGCTAAAGACAAATTTCGACCTATTATTGCAGCAGATGTTCCGCTCGGCGCCTGAATTTTGAGCACTTTCCCCAGATAATTGCTAAATTTGTGGCGTGCAGATGCCGAAAGTATCGACTCCTGCCGCCTGAAATTCGCATAACTTTGGGAACAATTACAAAACAAGGCGCTGGGTGTTTCTAGTTCACGTTGATCAGGGAATTTCGGAGGGAAATTATCGGAATAGCTGACCCGAATTCATTTTCCGTGTCACTCGCGCAGTCATTCTGGGGCAGTTGATGACTGGCGCCTAATGACCTCTCTAAAAGGTGGTGCAGAGCCTCAACAGGTGCGCCCTAAAAATTTATTTGTCTTGCGAATTCCCCGAGAAATGGAGTCCTGGCGCGTAATGTAAATTTAATGGCCATGCCTGGAATTGGCGAAGCCACTGTGGGCGTCCTGACGTCCCGCTGGGCGCCAGATGTGGAAGAATGCTCACTTCCTCTGCCCGGGCCATTAATGAATGCATCCCGGCTGCACTTTTAATGGGAAAAGTTGCGAAATAATTTTTAATTCACACGCGAATGTGTGACACAATGATGAGAGACTTTGATGAGCATTTTCACTGAGTAAGCAGCTTTTGTGGCGTGGCTTTTCGCATGTTCTCCCGCGAATGGACAGATTCGATTGATGATATCAGAGGAAAGGGCCACATCGACAGTTCCCAATTGATTCAGTGGCCATATCTTCTCACTGACTCGCCATAAAGTGCAATTTCCCAGAGGTATTCAGAGCGTTTCCAACCACTTTTCTCACTTGCTAGCATCACATGCAACCAATTAGTGCGATGTCAATGGAACGGACGCGACTCAATCTCTTCGGCAGCTTCAATGCAATTCCCGGAAAATGCATGTGAACTGCCTCAGTTTCATTGTCTGCAAAGCCCGGGACAGAAACGCTGATGTGTGTGTGTGCTGAAAAACACCAAATTGAATATTCTGTTTCGCGTATTTCCTCTTTTATTTAACATTTTTTATTACTCTGCTTTCGCGAACATAATATTGTTTGGCGGAACACAATTTCATCTGCCATGCAGACCATTTATTCCCATTCGCTTTTATCCACAAGAAAAAAAAACAGCTCGATGCGCTTCCCCGGAAGTCAGAAAGGAAGTACTTGTGCGTGAGGTTATTTGATGACGAGGGGAAATGCGGAACAGGTGCGCCCAGAGTGACGATGATATTTTATCCTCAAGTAAATGTTTATTCTCGCTCTCGATGCTATGCTTCCTAGCGAAGCTGCATTATCAGCCTCGCCCTAGATATCCGGATGATGTGTAAAATAAATATTGTGCTTGCATGGGTTTCAAATTTCATCGCTCTGAAGTACAATTTGTAGATTCCTGCTATTTCTCTTCGTATTTGGCATACAGAGAGCATCTCCTTGCTTTTCAATTGTCAAGTAACTAAAAAGCACTCTTCACATGCTGAAGAACGGGTTTCTTTTTCCGCATTTTCGGCACAGATAGAACTTGGCTTTTCTCGAATTGAAGTTAGGGAAGAATGAGTGAAAAATCCCATTCAGGAAAGACATAATGCATTCTGGGAAATTTTTATCTTTTGAAAATAATCTTATACACGAATGGGCGGAGCTTATGTGTGGGTGGAGCTTTACCTTGAATTTGGAAATCTTATTTGATATAAAATATTTGTAAGCAGTTAAATGAACTTGAATTTAATAACACAATCAATTCAGTCAATATTAGTCATGAAGCACATAAATACTCTGCTTATCTCTTATCGTGAAACAAAACAAGTATGACTTAAGACAGATCTTTCAGGCATAAGTACGCTGATAAGAGATTTTTTGCTTTCACTTTATCTCTTAAGACTATGACCAAGCATATTAGCATATTTTATCGCTACCGCTAGACTGCTTTATCAATTATGTGTAAATAAATACCTCTTATCATCACGATGACCTATACTTTGGCCAATGTTCATCTCGAAAGTCTGTGTCACTTTTGAGTGAAAATTCGTGGTGGTAAGATGTTTGTGGGAATTTTCGTGATTTCGGTGCTTGTGATTCTGGTAATTAATTTCCTCACTAAGCGATGGAAATTGCTCAAGTTCACGAGCAAATTTCCCGGCCCGAAGCCACACTTCATTTTTGGTAATGCTGGGGACTTTGTGGAGCACAAAAATGATCCAGCAGGTCTGTAGAATATATTTTCACGCTGTTTCGTTAATTGACAATTTGATTTTCGCAGCTCTCTTCAAACAGCTCATCGACTTCCATGACATTTATGGGAAGCATTTCGTGACTTGGGGCTTGTTCAATGTAATGAGTATCAGTATCATTGATCCCAAAGACTATGAGACAATTCTGTCAAACACAAAGACAATTCGGAAGTCCATAGAATATGAATTCCTCAAACCATGGCTCGGAGAGGGTCTTCTGGTGTCATTTGGGCAAAAGTGGGCCACCAGACGCAAAATTATCACACCCACTTTCCACTTCAACATTCTCGAACAGTTTGTCAAATCGTTCGACAAGCAAACCAATATTCTTGTGCAGAAGCTGAAGCCTCACGTCAACAAGGGTGACTTCAATATTTATACTTACACCACACTCACAGCCCTGGATATCATCTGTGAGACGTCAATGGGAGCTGAAATTCACGCTCAGGATCATCCGGAAACCCCATATGTGCAATCTGTGAAGGCGTGAGTATTTCCACTCCAGGGTTTGTTGAATTTTGCGGGGAGAATAACACGGACTGTTTTCCTTTTGCAGCATGAGTCGATTTATGTTCGAGAGAATATTCAGTCTTTTGGGAGGCTATACGCTCCTGTTTCCATTGACACCTTTGTACTGGAAGCAGCGTCGCCATCTGAAAGTCGTTCATGATTTCACAAACAGCGTTATTGTCCAGCGACGGGAGCAATTACTCATGCAGCAGGCCAATGTGGCGAAGAAGGTGAATGATGATAAAGATCGTATGAATGTTGATTTCATGAGCAAGCCGGAAGAGGATGACTTTAAAGATCTGTACCTCAATCGGTCTGGCAAGGAGAAGCTCACGTTTCTGGATTTGCTGCTGAAAGCGACAGTTGATGGTAAACCACTGAGTGATGCTGATATCCGAGAGGAGGTGGATACGTTCATGTTCGAGGGACACGACACCACCACTTCGGGTATATCACTCACCCTCTACCACCTCTCGCAGCATGCGGACGTGCAGGAGCGGGTGTACGAGGAGCTGAAGGAGATTTTCGGGGATGAGCTGCAGGAGGACTTCAGGGTGACCTACAGTCACTTGCAGGACATGAAATATCTGGAGATGGTCATTAAGGAATCCCTCAGACTCACACCTCCTGTCCCGATAATTGGACGCCAGACGACAGAGGACATCTTTGTGGCTGGTGTGAAAATTCCAGCTGGCATCAACATTTCCATGCTCGTTTATGCCATGCATAACTACGAAGAATTCTATCCGAATCCTCGGAAATTCGACCCCGAGAGATTCACTGCGGAGAACTCAAAGGACCGCCATCCTTATTCCTATATCCCATTCAGTGCTGGACCGAGAAATTGCATTGGTACGTCGCTAATGCAATATTTATTTGTCCTCAATTTCACAATCTCACTCTTGCACATTATTTCAGGCCAAAAATTCGCCATGCTGGAGATGAAGATGACGATAGCGAAAATTTTAATGAATTTCAAACTTCTGCCTCACGAACCGACAGCGAAATTGACTCTCCAGGGAGATTTGGTGCTCAAACCAGTCAATGGGGTGTTTCTGAAAATTGCACAGCGAAATAAAGTCTTGTGATAAAGTGGAGAGGGCACGAAGTTTCACTCCTTCAACTGGGTCAAAGGATTCATGGTGAAGAATGAGCAATCCAAGAGGAAATGTTCATGCTCTCGCTCTTCAAACTTATACTTTATGTAGCAGCAAAGATTTCCCCTGGCTTTTTGTGAGAAAAATTACCACTGGATTTGAGTGGAAATGGCAATTAATGAGAAAATCAATTGATGAAAATGATTGCGGTATAAAACTTGTGTAATGAAAACTTTTCTAGTTTATCATTGAACAAAGTGTGCACGGCCAAAATCTGGATTCAATTGAAAAGTGTTTTAACTACAAATAGGCCAAAAACTTTCTCGTTAAGCACATTAAATATTTTCTCCAAATGAGAATTATGATGGGAAATTGCATATTGTAATTGTGAATGGGAATTTCATGTGAAATTTTGCGCTTATTTCACATCAAATGCAGGAACAAGTGAACTTTGCCTTCACATAAAACACCATGAAATATGCATTCGCCTGAAGATTGGGAGCCCTTCCAACTTTGTATTGAAAATTCAACTCTCGCCGGACTCATTTAAAATTACAATTGTGCAATAAGAAAGACTCTGGGTTGTTCGTCAAAAAGGAGGATGGAAAAGAAAAGGGGTTTCATTAATGATACATGAGACGGCGAGGCAGTTTTCGCCTGGCAAAATCGGAGAGAATTGTTTCAAGTTCATCCGGTCCATTAAAGCTAATGCTTCAGTCATGTTATTGATCGCTCATGTCGAAGTCTTTAGCACACTTGTGTCAGTCTATTTGGGGATAAGTGAGTGACATGCCTAAAAGGATAATAAAATCACGTCTAGCTCTTAGTTGGTGGAAGAGATTTAATCTAGTTTCGAGTGATGGTTGGGAAGTATTTGGGAAAATTGCATTAAATTCAATTCTTACTCCCAAATGAATATTCATTTAAAGATGAATTTCTTCTTTAAGTGGTTTTTGTGCTTCGAAAGCTTACCGAACGTGTGGTTGTCTTCTTGAATAAAAATTTCAGGTGAATGTTGTCTCCTTAACTCTTCTCTCGGATTGCAAATGCATCGGAAAATTCGATGAGAATCATTGGATTGTGACAGATATCACGTACTGGGAAGCTTTTCCGACTATCAAACTTTCCAGAAAATGTCTCGAGGCGGCAAAAATATCTCCACGAAGAATATCGAAATTCCCATGAGGATTGCAAGTCATCAACCTCTGCAAGACACCCGATATTTTGCAATTAAGCCGACGCCTTGACGTTGTCTCGGGATTAGCGAAGGGAAGAAACGCCTCTGGAATATGGGATTACACTTTAAATTGGCTTACAGACGGCGGACCTGGAATTTCCAGGTGACACGGATTATCTGAAGCTTGCTCCTGCCCATAAAACTCACACATCGCGACGCGAGAAATACACATAAATTCTCTTCCTTGGGGACAAATTAGTCCATTGTTCAGTCCAGAAGCAGCGAATAAATCTGTCCTAATAATCTCATTTCGTCATTTCAGTTGCTTAACATGGGATAAATTGAGTCGTAAAGCAGGAAATCTGCCTGGAATTTCTTGCTGGAATTCATTCGCTTGACGCCCATCAGTTAATCCGGCAATTTCGAATGAGTTGCACTAAAACTCTGCTCGCTCTTGTCGTTCAACCCAAATCGAATCTCATTGTCGGAGCACTCGCCAGAAATTGAATTTTTTCCATGCGATATTTTCCTGTTTGTCTCTTGATGGAAATTCTTTGTGGCCAAACTCAATGCAAAACAGTGAAACTCTCCCGAAGAATTTCTGGGATGACCGCAGATTGAAATACTTGTGACGTACATTGTTGAGGATTTGTATTATGCTTTTCTCTCGGGCTCCGACCCCATTTTCTGGATTGAGAAGAGTTGAGGAACGACAATGCAAATGTCTCAATGCGAAGCTGTTTGTGAGCATTGCAAGACAATTTGTGGTGAGAAAAACTGAAAAGTTGAATGGATTTTGTGTGTTTTTCTTGTGAAACTCTGAAAAGTCATACTTTTATGCCAATTTCGTCCACTCGCCAAAGAGACAATGAAGATCTCACGACTTGGGTGAAAATTTAATGCTTTTCTGACAAACTGTGTAAAATGAAAAATTGCTCTTCTGACACTCAATTCCATGCATGAGCGCAAATGTCCAGTGAGAATTGAAGTCAATGGTTAAGCAGAACAAAGCGTCGCAGCTGAACAACAGGAAGTGTTCTGAAGTGAATCTCAAGAGCGATTTCTCCTGTGGGAAAGGGAAGAAGCATCAAACGCCGGAAAATCTTGAAACTCTCTTCCGCCTTGCAAAACGACAAAATGCAAATTGTCACTTTTGCGGTCAATGAAATGCACTTGATTCGTCATCTTGTATCTTTTCGCACGCATTTCCACATCGCAATTGTTTGCCTTCCGCTTGAGCGTCTCAACATTGGCCAATCTTTGTCACGTTTTCTTCCATCCGCTCGATATTTGATCGGATTCCGCCAAATCGTGACGCCAATGCAGCTCTGGAGTGCGAATCCCACTTGAAATGTGGGTCGCGGACGTCAAAATCCCTGTCAATATTTGAGAAAGGATCCAATCTTCATTGGAAAACAGTGGCGCGCAATGAAGTGTTCCGATTCCATTAATTACGCACTGCGAAGCCCAATAAAATGCGAGAAGCAACCCGATCTCGCTTCCGCACGAAGTCAATAAATCGCCTTTGAGTGTCCCTTCTTCGAGCTCCGAGGCGACGTCTTATCTTCCGAGGCAGAGTTTTGAATTTCAAAGTCCACTCGTCGCCTCGGGGCAGCGCAATTGGCAGAGCTGGAGAGGAAGAGGGATTTGATTCTCACTGATGTGCATGAGCAAATAGTTCGCTTTTGGGGCTGGAATGAAGCCCAGAGGCGGCTTTGATGTCGAATGCATCATTTCTCGGCCAAATACTCATTATCGCTTATCTGTGCACAGGAAAAGTACGCGAATGATGAAGATTGAGTGCGACATGCGAACGTGTGGGCGTTTACAGGAGGAATACGCATTCCCTAATCCTGTTTTCCTGCCAAAGAGACAGCCACGTACTTATTAATCCTGCTCAAGCGAATGAGGCGCGCTTATGGCATTGAGATAAATAATAGAAAGAAAACATTATCACATCCTCGTATTTATCACTCCCACCATTGAATCCATGTTTAATCATCCCTTCTCACCCACTGAATTTTCCATGAGGGTGTCACCTGAAAATTAGAAAAATTACAGGTGATTTTCATCCCCATTCGCCAGGGTTAAATGTATAAATTTACTTCAAGCTCCACTGTGGGCACTTTCGGAAGGACAGGCTGAACAACAAGTTGCCCGGACGAAAGTGGTGTGAGAATGGAAAAGAGCACAATTTTCGTGGCTCCTCAGCAAATGGCTTCACCACAATAGGCAAATGGCGCATTAATATTTCATCAGCGATGAATTCGACCAGGAAAACATGGTGAAAATCTCAATTATAATTTAATTAAGCTGGTAGTTGAATTAATTTTGCGCTGACTCAACTAGAAGAAGTACAAACACGACCCTGTGTGTTAATTAAATTAAACATTCAGCAGCGGATCGCAGAATTCTGTATATCAACTATTAAGTATGTATTAGGGTGTGTGAGTGCAGCAATAATATTTACTCTCATTTCAATGGCGAAGAGGTGCTTATTAATGTATTCATCAGATTATATTCTGCTTCAAAAATCGGCTTATGTAATTTCGCGCAGAGACTCTCGCAGTTTATTATATCATTTCCGCTCAGAGGATCATCCCAAGCGGCTTTGTAGTGATTTACACATTCGAAATAGGAGCAATTGCATTTCCTTTAATGTGTATTCTGCCAGCAATTTTATGCCAACGATTTATGTTTGGCATGTCCTGAAAGCTCGAGCTTTTGAAAGCTCTTTTCTCTCTCTTTTTTGGTATATCAAATTAATTATCTGAGACCATATTTCACGTCTCCCGATCTTCTTTCAGGTTTCACCTTCAGCAAACTCACCTCTTGGCGTTGCTGAAGTCATTGGCACGACACGGGAGACAATCTGTCGAAAAATTCCGAGGAAAATGCGAAATAGCGTGCTTTCGTGCCAGTGACAGAGCTTTGATGTTCGCTCCCCAAACCCCTAATATATCCCATGGGAGCTGAAGAATTATGTGGGAATTGGTGGGCTGGAAGATTGTGCTCTTCGGCGAATATTGGAAGCGCGATGGCAAGGTGAGGAGGAGAAAGTGCCACGCATCCAAATGTTGCTAATAAATCCTTGTTTATGTGATTTGAGCTGGTGCTGATGGCAATGATGATGATGGGGTGTGCGGTGATATTTCCACGAGAGAGCACACATCACGGAATAAATCGACCTGTTGTTCTTCAAGAGAAAGCTATAAACACTCATCGCTGTGACATTTATGTTTGTTTGTTTTCCACTCCTTGATGCCAGGACGAGAGGGGCGCCGAGGAGGACAGAGAGATGGCAAAAATTCCGTAGACATTGAGACCCTTTCTCAGCATTTGCTCTCTATTTATTGCACCTATTGCGAGGCAACACATAAAATGGGTGGCCCTTTTATTGTAATTTTATATTTTGGTTTCGCTTTTATTGGGTGTTGATTAGAAATAATTGCTATATTTTACTGGGAAAATTCTCTTCATTCTGCGGGTGTTAAAAAGGAGACACTTAACATTTAATATTTCTTCTTGATTAGATCCCTTTTCACTGTTTGTCAGGGATTATCATTTTTCAATTGAATCACAATGCCATAAAGAGGGTGATATTTTTTCGTTCGCCTCTTCTTTCTTTCTTTCTCTTCACCATCTCCACCAAAAGCACACCCTCGTCTTCTTTTATCTATCAAAACCATGCAGATTCAGCCAAATTCAATTTGATATAATAAAAATTCAAATAATGTAGAATCTTTGTTTGGAGCCCAGAGAAACAACAGAGACGAACGAGAGCGAATTGTGCGAGACAAAAGAGAATGAAACAGAGGAAATATTAATTTTTTAACGTACCCAAAAGGAAAACAGTATTAGATATG